AGGGAGAAGCTTTCATCCTTTGGAGCCTTCCTTCCACACACAACCTTTCTGATGTGCTGGGCCTGGACATTCAGAGCTGGAAAGGGATCAGAGTGGGAGAAGCTACTTCCACGGGGATGACCCCTTTATTTGAAGGCCATTACCACAAACCACCAATTGCACTTTTCAACTCAGCCTTGGCTTCTCATCAGTGAATGGCCAAACTAGGCCACTGAATGCTTTCACTCCATTTAGAAAGAGCTCTAAGCTGGCTGTCCGGTGTCCCTTCTCTGCCTGCTCTACTGGCCCAGAGCCTTGTCTCCCACAACGGCACAGAACATACCACTGTGAGGTTAATACACGGGAACAGAGAAACAGAGTTGTCTCTTGCAAGAGGCACAGAGACAGTGTCATTACCCAGCATCCCCGTAACCCCAGGCAAGCCTTCAAGACCTGTTCACAAGAAGACTTGCATTTGAGCAAATAAATTTCTCCCTGTTTTAGGTATGGACTCTAAACAAGCAGGGGCTGTGATGCTCCATAGCAGGGGTGAGGAGAAGGGGCCGAGGCCAGATCACTGAAAGCGCTGGGCTTAATGATCCGCTCTCTACGCACACGCACTTCCTCCTCAATAGTTTGCCTCATTAGCTGTCAAAAATGAACACGTATTAGGCAGGAGGTAACACCAATCATAGCAACTTAAATGAAAGGCTTTTCTGTTAGAATAAGGCAAGAGCCAAGTTGTTGGACTAAGCTCCAAGCAGAGTCAATAGCTCCAGAAGAGAGACCATTTATTTGTATATGAGAATGACGGAGAGAGTATGTATCTTAGAACATGAATGACTGTCCTCTTAGGCCTCAGTCTCCAACTCTGTTCCACTCATGAAAGTGTAACATGAGTGCAAAATCACACCCTAGACTCTGTTTCCACTCAGGGGCCAGTGAATCACTGCCCTTCAGTCAATGGAGAAATTCAGCCAATGTCTCAGGGCCTGGCCTTCTCTTCCTCAAATAGACAAAGATGTTTTCAGCAAAATCCTTGCCCCTACCTCACCTATCTGATCCTATAGATCAGACACCAATGAATCTGTCCTCATCTATTCTCTCTCTCTTTTTAATAGATGGGGTCTCACTATGTTACCCAGGCTGGAGTGCAGTGGCTATTCACAGCCACAATTATAGCATACCACAGCCTCAAACAGCACACTATATAACCTCAAATTCCTGGGCTCAAGTCATCCTCTTGCTTCAGCCTGAGTAGGTGGGACTATAGGCACAAGCCACCATGCCCAACTCTAATTCTTTACATAGAAAAAAAATCTCCCTTCAAGAATACCCAGGAATAGTCCCACAATTCTAATTATAGAGAGATATACCCTTAACGCAGCCCAGAAATTTGATGTTGTGATCAGTGGTGTTGCATAGCTCTTCCTTTAGGAGATGCACGTCCATACCCTGACTAGTTGGCCCAGGACACAGACAGAGCAAGAAGGAAATGCAGTGGGAACAGATCTTTGTGGATCTTTTTCATTTTCTGAAATGTGGGGAGTAAAATATAACAGAGGTTTGCTACAACCTATAATGGAGGTTTGTGGTCTTCCTACAGCCCTGGATAGCTGTGCCTCTCACCCAGCCTTTCCTTTACTTTCCCAGGATAAACACCCTCCTAGGAGAATGTTTGCAGAATAAAGCAATATGGGTTAAAAAGAGGGTCTACTTCCAAGGTTCACCACAAACTGGATTCTAACACATGAAATAGCAGCCAAGGAAGTGTTTTGTGCCTCTAAAAAGGATGTTACATTTCAAAGGTAAAAGATCGAGGCATCTTGCCTGTTTGACTTAGGGAATCTTCACAAGGAGCTTTTGAAATTTGCATTCTAGACCTGTGAGAAGATACCCTGCAAGCAAGGAAGGTAGGTGGAAGGTAGGAGAAGCTGTGGCCCTAAGACAGGGCTGTAAACATTGTGGTTTTCTAAGGCCAACCTGGTACATGGCTTTGGCAACTACGGTTAAATCTCCAAAAGGTGGTGAAAAACATGTTCCAAAAGGAAAAGACATCTTTCCACACCCTAAGAATGTAGTGGACTATCCTTGGAGGAGGAGGGGTGCACTGGGAGAGAACGTTTTCTTCAGCCAGAGGCTGTGGGGTGGCTACTCAGAAAAATCCCCCATCCATCATATTCCATGTTTGTACCAATATACTGAGCACAGAGAAGGGGGCTTGAACAAGACTAAGGAAGTGATTATGCCTGCATCAGTTAGGTAATGTGGCTCTACTCTGGACTTTCTGGTCAAGCTCTAGATAGACCACATCAGCCTCAAGTCAAGACGGCCATGCCTCAAGGAAAGACCAATTGAGCACAGGCCCCATGTTCCTGTGGGCCACAAGCCCTGGGCCTAATCCTGAGGTACAGCTGGCAGACTGTAGCTGGACCTATGTCCCCTTAGAGCTGTGCCTCAGGACTCTGTCCTCACCTCAGCAAGCTCTGGGGCAGTCAGCCACCCCTCCAGGGATCTTACTCCCAGAGCCACCAAGGGGAATGGACACCCTCCCTGACAGGCCTCTGCTGCCTACCAGGGCTACTCACCACCATGTGATCTTGAACTCATAGATGGGGCGCTTGCAGTAGTAGTGGTTGACAAGGTGCTTGTCACATACCCCAATGCACTGGTGGTCCACAGTGAGGCCCTGGGCCGAGAGGTCCGTGACCAGGCAGTGCAGCAGGTCATAAACATCAGCCACGGCCTCCCAGGGCCCAAAAGACACATCCACTTCACAGTGGTGCTCAAAGAGCTGCCCATCACTCTCGCTCCGCTCGAAGCGTAGAGAGTTAAGGAGTGGACATTCGTAGGGGGTGATGGGCATCTCCTCCTTGAAGACACAGACCTTGAGCTTAGCAAATCGGGCCTTCCGCTGTACTGCACGCAGCCGGGCGATCTCCACAATCCGCTCCAAATGGTCTAGGAGAGGTGAACACAGCACCCATCACTGGGACGCAGAGGTGGGACAGGGTAGTGGGAGGACACAGAGAGTTCTACTGACAGTAGGATACAGGAGATTTCCTGGAGAAGCACTCAGTGGGTCTATGAAACGCACAAACTTAAACAATGGTCCTGTTGTCTAGAGCAAAAAGAAACCAAAGAGATGAGGACTGTCCTTTTGAAATGAGATTTGTTGACTGTCATAGACAAGTTGAATCTAGCTTGACCTGAATCTTTCCAATGTGATTGGGAAGGAGAGAACGTTTTCTCCTATGCTGAGTAATTTGGATTAATCCCAGACCCTGGACATATTCTGGTAGAGACCAAGACCTGACAGATACTTTGCAACCTTCCTCCCTCATATCCCAACTGTCCTGCGTCGTTGAGCCCTCACCTTTGTAATAGGGCATGAGTCCCAGAAACGCCTGGCGCACCTTCTCGCCCTTCAGCGGCTGCATGTTCTCCAGCTGTTCCAGGAGGGGTCCAATGGCATAGTACTGGGCCTCTTTGTACACAGCCCGCACTCGCTCCCAGGGAGGCAGGTCCCCTGAACGCAGGAAATTCAGTACGTCTCTGAGCAGGAAGGAAAGGGCGGGGTGAGAAGGAGCTAATGGACCTGGGTTATGGCACACAATGGTCAGACAGAATCTGGAACCAGACTGCCAGCTGTGTAACCATCATAGGTGAACTTAACCCTCAGAACCTCAGTTTCCTCACCTGTAAAATGGGAGAAAATAACAAAACTATTGCGTAATGTTAAGAAGGAATTAAGAGCTAAGGAAATTCCCAGCACAGAGTAAGCCCTCAATAAGTGTTATTAGTTGCTATTAGCAATGATTATTATTATTATACATTTCTAATGTTATGTATATTATCAATAGGTATATATAAATATAATGGAAATATGACATCTAGCCCCTTTTTATATATTTTTAATATTCAATACCTGGAAAAATATTTTTTTCTTTTTTGAGACAGAGCCTCATTCTGTCACCCTGGGTAGAGTGCCATGGCAACATCATAGCTCATAGCAACCTCAAACTCTTGGGCTCAGGTGATCTTCTTGCTTCAGCCTCCCAAGTAGCTGGGACTACGGGTGCCTGCCATGACACTCAACTAGTTTTTCTATTTTTTCTTTCTTTTTTTCTGAGACAAGAGTCTCAAACTGCCACCCTGGGTAGAGTGCTGTGGCATCACGGCTCATAGCAACCTCCAACTCTTGGGCTTAAGTGATTCTCTTGCCTCAGCCTCCCAAGTAGCTGGGACTACAGGCACTCACCACAATGCTAGCTATTTTTTTGTTGCAGTTGCCATTGTTATTTAGCTGGCCTGGGCAGGGCTGGAACCCACCAGCTTCAGTGTACATGTAACTGGTGCGATGGGCGCCAAGCCAAGTTTTTCTATTTTAGTAGATACGGGGTCTTGTTCTTGCACAGGCTGGTCTCAAACTCCTGAGCTCAAGCAATCCACCCACCTCGGCCTCCCAGAGCGCTAGGTTTATAGGCGTGAGCCACCACTTCCAGCAATAAATGTACAAATCTCAATCATATAGTTCAATTATTTAAGTGTGAATATACTCACCTAACCACCCCCAGACCAAGCTCTACCTTTTCCTTCTAAAACAAAAATTTGTTTTGCCTTTTCTTGAAACTCATATAAATAGAATCATTCAGTACATTCTCTTCCATACCTAGCTGCTTTCTTTCTTGCTACTAGAGAGGCTGAGGCAAGAGGATATCACCAAGGTGACAGAGTGAGACTTTGTTTCAAAAACATCAAAACAAAATAAAACCCCAAAACCATAATGCTTTTGAGATTTAGCCACCATGTTGTATGTAACAATAGTTTGTTTCTTATTTATTTTTATTGTTTATTACATAATTAGAATACCATTGTATGAATATACTATAAGTACCCATTCTCCTATTGATGGACATTTGAGTTATTTTCATTTTTGGCTATTATGAATAGCTGCAATGAACATTCCTATATAAGTCTTTTTGTGGGCCAGGCATAGCCTATAATACTAGTACTTTGAGAAGGCAAGGCAGGAGGATTGCTTGAGGCCAGGAGTTTGAGACCAGCCTATGCAACACAGCGGACCTTGTTTCTACAAAAAAAATTATAAGTTAGCCAGGTGTGTGTATACTACAGGTGCACACCTATAGTCTCAGCTACTTGGAAGTCTGAGATATGAGGATCACTTGAGCCCAGGGTCCAGGAGTTCAAGGTTCATGTAATCATGCCACAGCACTCTAGCCTGTGTGACAGACTGAGACCCTATCTCTAACAAAAAACCCAAAAACCTTTTGTGAACACAAGCACCAATTTCACTTGGGTAAGTACTAGGAGTAGAACTGTTCAATCATAGGATGATGAGTACATGGGTTTTTTTGTTTGTTTGTTTGTTTGTTTGTTTTAGAGATAGAGCATCATTATGTCACCTTTGGTAGAGTACTGTGGTGTCACAGCTCACCGCAAACTCAAACTGTTGGGCTTAAGCAATTCTCTTGCCTCAGCTTTCCAAGTGGCTGGGATTACAGGTGCCCGCCACAAGGCCCGGCTATTTTGTTATTGTAGTTGTCATCGTTGTTTGGCAGGCCTGGGTTGGGTTTGAACACGCCTCCTCTGGTGTATGTGCTGGCGCCCTAGCTGCTGAACTACAGGCGCCAAGCCAGGATGAGTGCATGTTTAACAAAGTGGCTGTATCATTTCTGCACGCCCATCAGCTATGTGAAAGAGTTCTAGCTGTTTCACATCTTTGTCATTAGTATTATTCTGTAGTTATATGGAAAAGATTAACATCTAACCATAATGTCTGAACAAGTTGACTCCAGGGCTGAATAAAATCACATACTGCATTTTCTCATTTTCTTTTCTTTTTTTTTTTTTTGAGACAGAATCTCATCATGTCACCCTTGGTAGAGTGCTGTGGCATCACAGCTCACAGTAACCTCAAATTCTTGGGCTTAAGTGATTCTCTTGCCTCAGCCTCCCAAGTAGCTGGGACTACAGTCACCGCCTACAATGCCTCACTATTTTTTGTTGCAGTTATCATTGTTGTTTAGCTGGCCCGGGGCCGGTTTTGAACCCACCAGCCTTGGTGTATGTGGCTGGCACTGTAACCACTGTGCTACAGGCGCCAAGCCATACTGCATTTTCTTAAAATAAAAATTCAGTTTAACTCACTTTTCAGATTCTTTAGCGCTAAGGGTAATCAGACCCATCACTGGGTAGTTCTAGGAAAGGAATAAAGATCAAGCTGTTGCTGATGGAACAATAGCTTAGCCTATAACCATAAAAAGATATTAGCAAACATGCTCTAAGTATTAATACTGTGTCAGTGACCATATGTGTGTTACCCCATTTTGTCCTTCCAACATTATATATGGTATGTGCTATCTTATCTCTATTTTATAAATGGAGCCCAGAGAGGTTAAGAAACAGCTTTGCTCAAGCAGCCACAGCTGACAGAGGCTCAGATTCAGACATGGCTGACTCTAAGCCCATACCCACAACGATCCAGGCTTCAGCAGAAGTGTTCAGACCAAAGTGTGGTACGCTGATTATAATACTGCCTCCGGTGGAGGCCCAAGCAGCCTCCATGGTGGGTGCTGGGTGTACATGAGCTGTACCAGTAGAGAAATGCACAGCACCAATTGCCCCGAACCCCTATTTTATGAGGCCTTCAACAAATTCATCTGCTGAGGATGAATCATAGGCTATTGGAGTCTAGAGGTCTGAGTATTAATACCACCATATCCTGCTGTCTGCCACACCCTTGTCTGTTTTGTTACTCTCCCCTCTATGTCACCTGGGCATAGGTGACATCAATCAGTCTTGAGTCAAACCCTGCTCCCTCTCCCTACAGCCCCTCCTAAAATAAGTCCTTTAGGATCTTCAGGAAACCTTGATGAGCTCTAAAAATCAAAACTCTGGGATAAGGCTCAGCTGGGAGTGCTGTGGGAGCTGCCAGCTGGGTCCAGCACTTTCCTCCCCCAAACAGCCTGCAAACAAGAATCTTTTTATAGTTCTGCAGAGCGATGTGACACTTTTGTTTTCTCAGCATTGGAAGCAGCTGACAGCCCACTGGGGCAACCCAGATGCTTCACAGCAAATTATTTGACCCGAGGCTCCTTTCTGAGGATAAAAATGACCCTTTCCCATAATGTGGGCAGTCCTATTTGGAGGTCAGCACAGTGATGTAGTAGTTGAGAATTTCTGCTTCCCTGGACATTTATTTGAAGGTCAAGGACAATGTAAGTTCCTTATTCATCTCCAAAGTTAGACTTAAGAAGCACAGAGTTCCAGCCACACACCTGGAAGGAAAAGGACCTGCCAGGGTCACACCAAGGCTCTATATTTAAAACTCATTGACAAGCCTGTGAGGCAGCTATAGCTATTTTCATTTTATAAGCAAGGAAACTGAGACGTAAAATCTTTAGATCATTCAGGGGTGACTAACCTTTTAGCTTCTCTGCACCACATTGAAAGAAGAGCTATCTTGGGTCACACATTAAATACACAAACATTAATGAAAGCTGATGAGCAGGAAAAAAAGAAAGGTCTGTGCATAATTTCCATAATACCCAATACCACAGATAAGTAAAACAGTCCTCATAAAATTTGCATGAGGCCTTAGGGCCACAGGTTGGACACCCTATATCAAAAGTCCTTTCTTGGGAAAGGTTATTATTATCATTATATTTAGAGATGAGTCTCACTATGTTGCCCAGGAGAGAGCATGATGGCTACTCACAGGAGCCATTAAAGCACACTCCAACCTTGAACTTCTGGGCTCAAGTTATCTTCCTGCCTCCAGAGTAGCTGGGACTATAGGCGTATGCCACTATGACAGACTGCATTTTTTTTTCTTCTTGTGACTATGTTTCCCATGTTTTTTGTGTTAAAATGACAGGAACAGAAGGATTTTCTAATCTAAAAAAAAGTTATTTTTTTGAGACAGAGTCTCATTTTGTTGCCCTTGGTAGAGTGCTATGGCATCATAGCTCACAGCAACCTCAAACTCTTGTACTCAAGTGATCCTCTTGCCCCAGCCTCCCAAGTAGCTGGGGCCACAGACCCCTGCCACAACCCTGGCTATTTTTTCAGAGATGAAGTCTTATTCTTGCTCAGGCTGGTCTGGAACTCCTGTGAAATCCACCCACCTCAGCCTCCCAGAGTGTTAGGATTATAGGCATGAACCACTGCGCCCAGCCCAGAAGGATATTCTAAAAAGAGACTTTTCTTGACAAAATTAAAGAATGGCAACCCTATGTCAGCCCTTCCCTCATCTGTTTTGGTTATTGTTTTAAATTACTGAAATACGTTTGGGAACCACTGCTACAAGCCATTCTTCCTCCCCCTGGCAATGTTGAGAGCCCCAGAATCTAGATTTGAAGGTATTCTCTGAGAAGCTGGTTTTAGACTATTCTCTACTTCAAGATGGGATCATACTTATTTATATTCACACAGATGATAACTTATTGGTGTCAGTTTGCCTAGGATAGCTGGATGCAGTGGTATGCAACTAGCTATTTGTGAGGCTGAGGCAGGAGGATCACTGGAGTCCAGGAGTTTGAGGCTATACTGAGATATGATCACATCTATGAATAGCCACTGCATTCCAGCCTGGGCAACATCATGAGACTTTATCTCTAAAAAATAAAAATAAATTTTAAAAAATTCAAAAATAGGGCGGCACCTGTGGTTCAAAGGAGTAGGAAGCTGGCCCCATATGCTGGAGGTGGTGGGTTCAAACCCGGCCCCAGCCAAAAACTGTAAAAAAAAATTTTTTTTAAATAAATAAATGAATAATAGTACAAATTTTAAAATGGTCTAGGATAGAAGCAATGTCATCATACCCAGCCAATACCCAGTGTGGAACTGGGATTTTTCTGGCTGTCCTTGTCATTTGTGGCAAAGAAACTAAGCATTTCCCAGTTCAACAAGCACATTTATTAAATTGTATCAATATGTTTTCTCTTCTTCTAGGTACAATGGAGGATGCCAAAGTTCCATACCCAACCCCAGGCTACTCCTTTGTTAGGACTACAAAGCTGACCATAGAGCGAGAGACATACCCAAAGTGTGTACCATCTCGGTCAATGAAGTACCGGCCCTCAGAGTCCGTGGGGATGTAATGCCGCCCGCTGAACATGGCTGCCAGCATGGTGTCTTCATAGCGCCTCAGGGTAGACAGGCGTGTAGTGAAGTGAGCCCCACCAATGTTAAGGGGGACAACCTCAGGAAACTGGAAAGGAACCATGGGGCTCTCAGGCAGGCAGAGGGGAATGAGGTGGGCTGCTCCATCTTCAGTCTTCTTGGGTCTGTTTAGTGCCAACCACTTGCTCTGTCACCCATGCCCCAGGAACCCACTGAACACCTTATCTTCCCTCTCCTTCCTCCTCCCATACTCATCAATTGCCCAGTTCTGCCCATTCTTCCTGAGAGCCCTTAAGTCACGTGGTTTCAGCCTTCATCATTCTCCTTCTGCTTCCTGAACTGACCACCTTTTTGTCCTTGCTGTCTTCTCTGCCCAAAGTGTGCTTACCACTCTCCCTCTGCTCATTAAACAAAGAGTCACCCAACGTGGTGCTGTAGGTTGTTTATTGTATAAGGGAATCTCGATGACAGTGATCTCTAACCCAGCTCTGTGCCCGGTTTCTAATTCACACCAAGGCACCATACAGGTTAGCGGCATCTACTAATTCTATAAGTTTCTACTCAAGTTCCCCTCCTCTGTGACTTTGTCCCTCACTTGCCCCTAAGATATACTAATGACATATTCCTTTATCATGCTTTCATGGTGTGCCACACTTCATTACAGCACCTAGCACAATACACTGGCAGTTATTTTCCTCTGTCAACACACACTCCTCTAGGCCCTAAATCCCCACAGGCAGGGAAAGTATCTCATTCGCCAATCATGGGGCTGCCATAGCAGAGCTCAGTAAATGTGTGTTAAAGTTTCCAGGTACCTAGTCCTCTCCTATTTCATCTGCAAAGTGAGAAGGTTAGTCTTTAGTCCAGCTAAGGTTCTGGAGACAAGGGCTGGGTAAGAAACAGGAAAATGATGGTATAGATGTGCCCTAAGAAGCTTAAGATTTCCCCTAAAATGCTCTAGCTTTTTTTCTTACTGTCTTTCGCAGATTATGGTTTCTATCAAACTGCATCTGAAAGAAATGAGGTCAGTTTCAGTTCTCTCTAATTTTCCCACAAACTTCCTCCAGATCAACTAAAATTTTATCCCAGTACATACTTTTTTTTTTCCTTCAAGACAGAGCCTCACTTTGTCACCCTCAGCAGAGTGCCATGGCGTCACAGCTGACAGCAACCTCAAACTCTTGGGCTCAAGCAATCCTCTTGCCTCAGCCTCCCAAGGAGCTGGGACTCCAGGTGCCCACTACAACGTCTGGCTATTTTTAGAGATGGGGTTTACTCTTGCTCAGGCTGGTCTCGAACTCCTGAGGTCTGGCAATTCACCCTCCTTGGCCTCCCAGAGTGCTAGGATTACAGGTATAAGCCACCACACCCAGTCTTCCCAGAGCATATTTTCAATATTACATCTCTTCCACTCCAGTGGAAGTCTATGTATTTTTATTTAGACAATGCCTTTTCCCAGAATCCTTTGTGAAAGAAAGTAGGATACAGATACATGAACTTACTCAGGGCCTTGTGCACTGTTGGGATCACAGTAAAGACCCAAAATGTATTAAATGAATGAATGAAATACATTTTTGTATTTCAGCTCTGTATACAGCTCTGTGTACAAAAGCACTGTTACTCTTCTGCACCTAGAGCATGTGGAAATGCCTTCTGTTTATTCCATAGGTCCTCAAAAACCATTCTATGTGTATATCAAGGACTCAAACTACACACAAAAATAGCACCACTGGAACTCTTTCTTTCAATTGCAGAGACTATTTCTAGAATTTTGCTCATTTTTACAAGTTTTCTAGGATGCTGGAGTATAGGGGTTCCAACCATTACACAATGCTATTTGCCCAAGATCCTCACACAGCCCAGCTCACCTGAGCTCTGTCCACTGTCCTGGGACTCCATACATCACATGCTCCAGAACCCATCACTACCTTAGTCCCTACCTCCTAGATTTCCTCTTCAGTGTCCAGAAGGCCCCACCTTCCCTCATCTTTAGGGCCATTTCAGGTGTTAACATGATAGTATCACACATTAAGTAAGAGCAGTGGAAGCCACAGTGCATCACAGCACCTCAGCTAGTGAGTGTAAGCCCCGAGGCTGTCGGTGAGTGTGGACACGTTTATTTATTATTTGGCCTACTCCTTATCTACAGATGGCTCCTTCTCCCATTCCTTGGGCAGCTGGAGATTGGATATGAGTAACCACTAGGGCTCCTCTTGTATTCTCTAGAAAACACCACCATGTCTTGGGGCTCCGGGGTCTCCCATGGCCTGCCCTCCTTCACTTGGTAAAGGTGGGACATAGGGAAGGGAACAAATCAACCCTGCAGGCAGTGGGTGCTGGAAGGAAGGAGATGGGAGGCCAGTTGCCCCTTGGGTCAGGGGAGACACACTTGGTGCATTTTACACATTTACAGGGGTGCGGGTGGGGGAGCACAGCCGCTCGGGCCGACCCGACCTCGGCCCCCAGCCCAGATACTCCCCTCCCAAGGGAAGCTCTGCTGGGCACCTGCATCTCCTCGCGCCCTTCTCACGCGCCCCCCCTCCACTCCATCCAGGTACCTCCTGGGGCATCAGGGGCAGCGCGTGCCCTGCCTGCGTGGCCGTCGGAGTGGCCGGCTCCAGAAAGTCGTCTTCGGCGTCGGAGCTGGACATGGCACCGTCCGGGCGACGGCTGTCTAGCTCCCGCCCCGTGACTACCACCATCCCTCTGGCTCTGGGCAGTGGGCGCGGCTTCGGGCGGGCGGCAGCGGCGTCCCCGGGCACTACTGCCGAGCAGCGCCTGACATGACGCGACCGGCCGCAGGCAGGCCAGAGAGGCTGAGAGCCGGAGCGCGGGCCACACGGCTACAGCTTCCTCAGCTACAAACCGCTAGCCGACCACCGCGCAGACCGCCGGGCCCTGGGCCTGACCGGGCCGCCTCCCGTTATTGGCCGAGCCCCTGCGGGCTCCGCCCTGATTGGCAGGAAACTCGCCCAGTCGCAGAGCAGGCAGTGCG